GGAGGACGGTGGTGGGGGAGGGAGGGGGGGGGGGGGGCGGGAACTGGGAGGAGGGGAGTTATGGGGGAAAAAAGAGGAACAAATGTAATAATCTGAACAATAAAGATTTAAATTTAAAAAAATAAAATTAAATTAAAAAAATAATAAAAAAAAAACTCAGTAATCTAAAGGCATTTTTTTTCTTCACAACTTTTTAAACCAGAGAGAAAAATGTTAATAATTTTGCTAAAGAATCAAATGATTAAGATTTTAATAATGGGGAAATCTATGTGATTAGATTTAACAGCACTTTCAGTATGCCTGGAAAACATTTTTTTTTACTTTATCTTTATTGTTTAAATTATTACAGATGTCCCTTTTTTACCCCATTGACCCCCCCTCCCCACTCTTGTCCCCTCCCTAGGCCTTCACCCACTACTACCTGTGTCCATGGGTTATACCTATATGCATGTAATGTCTTTGGTTGATCTCTTCCCTGCCCTCCACCCTCTTCACTCTGAGGGTCCTCAGTTTATTGCATGCTTTCATGTCTCTGGATCTATTTTGTTTGTCAGTTTATTTTGTTCATTAGATTTCACATATAAGTGAGATCATGTGATATTTCTCTTTCATTATGTAGTGGATAAAAAAAGCTGTGGTACATTTACACAATGGAATGCTGTACAGCTGTAAAAAAGGGGATCTCTTATCCTTTGAGACAGCATGGGAGGACCTAGAGAGTATTATGCTAAGTGAAATAAGTCAGTGGAAGACATGTTTTTAAATAACACAAGCAAAACAGATTAATTATTAAAATCTAGGTTTTATCTAATAACAAAACCCAATATATTTGGGGGTGTTGTTTGATATAATGAAGATATGTACTCTTTCAAAAAATGATAATGGAAAGGAGAAACTAATATTTGTCAAGAACATACTATAACCAGGTTTTTACTACTGGGTGCTTTATGTACATTACTTCATTTATTACTAATAACCTGAATAAGGGGTATTTTAATCTCTATTTTATATTTGAGGACACTGAAACTCAGAGAGAATTAAAAATGAACTTAATCAAATTATAGAGTAATTAAGTAGTAAACTAAGATCTCTCAAATTCTTCTCTAAGGTGAGTTCTAATTTGTTGGACTTTATTTTTTTTTAATATTTTTTTATTGATTTCAGAGAGGAAGGGAGAGGGAAAGAAAGATAGAAACATCAATGATGAGTGAGAATCATTGATTGGCTGCCCCCTGCATACCCCCTACTGGGGCTCGAGCCTGAAACCCAGGCATGTGCCTGGAATGGGAATTGAAAAGGGACTTCCTGGTTCATAGGTCAATGCTCAACCACTGAACCACACCGGCTGGGCTAATTTGTGGGACTTTATTATAAAAAAGAAAAAGACATATTACAATAAGGGAAATGCCACAATGTTATGGAAACTTAGCAAAGTGCCTTTTGGAAGCTCTGGTCTAAACTAACAATACACATTTTTTATAAAACTTTGTGAGCAAGTTGACAGTTAAATTTTTCTTTGGCATTAGCTACCCAACTCCATCTATTAGGGCATCTCCCCATGCCTGAGGAGCCTATGCCTCCAGATTACAGCTCCAAGAACTTTCTATGTCCCCATCTCTGTTTTGGGATGCATGACAAACAAACTGAGCAGCAATATGAAATTTCATACTTCACCTATAGCTATTATAAAGAAACAGAAAATTTAGGTTCGAAAGACTGATGTTATTAAAGCCAAACTTGTTAAATGAGGGAGGAAGAAAAAAATTATATGAAGTTTAGAAAAAAAAGTGAGAAAAGTTTGGGAGAAAAGAAGAAATACAAATAAAATACAAAAAAATGACCTTTCTCGTCCCTGTGTTACAAGATGATTTATGTCACTGCTATGTCTTCTGTCTCCTCTCCCACCTGTTTTGCCTTCAACTTCAGAGAGCCATGCCTTAGGAAAAAAATAAGTAAAACTGAGCTTAATAAATACTTTTAAGAGCTCGTAAGATATTCTACATTTAAAATGTGCTTTGAGTTGTTATGATTATGTAATTCTTAGCGAAGGGAAACCTTTATTCCAGTTTGGTCAATGATCAACTTTATGGCTAATAAAAAATAGTTTAAGTGTTTATTTTTATATATCACTTTTCATTTAAAAACTTCAACAAGGGACTAAACATTATGTACCATACGATACCTTACTTTTAGTTCATGAGCCCTGAAATTAAATAAATATTTGAAGATAATTCTAGCAAAAAACTAACCTATCATGATGAAATTTATACAAATGAATTTATCTCAGACAACTGCTAAACAACAAATCTCTACCTCATTCTTGTGGATTTCCATTCGCAGGCGGTCAATATTATTCATGGTCTCTGCTAATTTAGGCTGCAAACTCCCTGGATCCCCCATTTGTGGATTTTTCTCATACACATCTTTCATTTTGTTGAGTGCTTCTCTGAAAACAAAAAGGAAGCCATAAAATTAAATATTCACTCTATATATTTCCAGATAAAAGAGTTTCATTTTATTTGGGGACTCACATACAACCTAATCTGAAAAGATTCACATCTCTTTTAAGTTTAGTAAAATATTACCTGATTAAAGATAATCTGATAAAGTATGTAGAGTGTGTAATTTATGGAAACATCCTTTAAATCAATTGAAATATCAAAAATAAGTTAGATTTAATTTCTCATTTCTTGCTCCTGAGACAGATATATATATATATATATATACACATACACACACACACACACACACACATACACAGACCTATACATATATGCTTCATCAAAGGCTAGAAGATATTCCTCAATATTCTTAAACTTATCATATCCCAAATCAAACTCATATTCCCATCTAGACACTATTCCACCTTTTCTTAGAGTTCATAGCATCAGCATCCTCCCACCCATTTATACTAGAAATAGAAATGCATCTTTAACTTGCCCTCTACCTCCAAATTCAGTTATTCACCTCCTCTTCACTAATCGTAATAATAGATTATGACTCAATCAGCTCTCCTCAACTCTGACAGCTGACAGTACTGACTTACACTCCTTAATACTCATTTCCTGCCTGATCTCCGGAGGGTACATTTTCTTTTTCCTTCTCCTCACTCTGCTGTCTTGTATCTCCCCCACTGGCTCCTCTTCTCTTCACCCTTTAAATGTATGTTACATAAATGACATAGGCTTCCTCTCATCTCATCCTACACTCCTCCTTCAGAATGATCTTTTATTGTTTTGTTTTTTCCAGTTTTAGTGAGATATAATTGACTCATTGCTTTAATATCACCTATCTTTAGATGATACGCAAGTATATATCTCGTCCTCTTTTTCTCCTAAGTTCTAGATTTGATTTCCAAATACAACTACATACTTTCATATAGATTTTCCATATTTCAAAAATCAACATAAGCAAAACCATGACCTTTGCCCCAAATATATTTTTTCTGTTTTAATTAAGTCTTTATCTATACTTCTGAGGTAGAAAGCCTCCATTTTTCTCTTCTTGGACATCCAATCAGATGACAAGTCTGACCTACTCTGCCTTTTAAACAGTCCTTATAATCTACTCTTTTCTATTTTCAAGACACGGTTTCAACATCTCACCTAGCTGGTTTGGCTCAGTGGACAGAGTGCCAGCCTGCAGACTGAAGGGTCCCAGGTTCGATTCCAATCAAGGGCACATGCCTGGATTGCATGCTCAATCCCCAGTAGGGGGCATGCAGGAGGCAGCCGATCAATGATTCTCTCTCATCATTGATGTTTCCCCTCTCCCTTCCTCTATGAAATCAATAAAAATATATTTTTAAAAAAGAAGTCCTCTAATCAGTCTCCCTGATGTCAATGTCTTTCCTATAAAATCTACTCTTCATATAGTTTTCAATTATCTTTCTTTAGAATACAGAGGTGATAGTATCGTCTACTTTCTCAACAACTTTTGGTGACTCTCCAATACCTCCAGAATTCTACAAAAAAGCATTCAACACTTTATATAATTCATCCTGTACCTTTTCATCCTCATCTTCTGATATTATACTGCACATAATTTCTAATCAAGTCTCCTCTGGCCTAGAGCCAATCCCAGGCCATGAAAGAATATTCACATTTCTGTGCTTTTATTCTTTGTTTTTCCTCTTGTCCTTAAATATTCTTACTCTCCCTTTATTGTCTAATTTCTTGTCTGACAAAACCCTATCCTCCCGTCAAAGTCTAACTCCAATGTTCTGGAAACAAACCAGCTGTTTGGATGTCAACTCTGATATTTACCAAATACCTAACCTGAGCCACATTATGGATATATTTGAGACTCAATTTCTCCACCTTTATAAAAAGAACAATAACTTCAGAGGGCTATTTTGAGGAATTCAATGTAAAATGCTGGGCTCACTTTCTAGTACATAATAATCCCTCAATAAACATCAGTTTCCCACACAATCACCCTTCCTCTTCCCCCAACTTCTCCCCAGTGACATTCATCTTAATTATCCCAGTAAGAATGCATTATTTTTTCCCTCTAGGTTTCCCCAGAACTTTATCTATTAACAGCTATCATAATCCAGCTTGTACAGAAATTAAATCAATGAGTTTTATCTTTCCTAACTAAAATGTGAGCCTATTAAGATCAGGAACTATTTTATAACCTTTTTGTATCTACTAAAGTCCTGACAGTCTATTACATATAGTAAGCCCTAAATATTACATTATATGTTATAATTTCCCAGAGACCATTTACATGTTGCTCTAGTAAGAATTATTTTAACATTTAAAAATTATTTAATGGGGAAGTAATATACAACATGGTATATACTGTATTGTATATTTGAAAGTGGCTAAGAGAATAGTTACTCATCACAAGAAAAAACATTTTTGTGACTATGTATGATGATAAATATTAAATACTTATCATGGTGATCATTTTGCAATATATACAAATGTTGAGCCATGATGTACATCTGAAAATAATGTTAATACGTCAAATATACCTCAATAAAAAATGTAATACTAATACAGTTGGTCCTCATTATTTGCAGATTCCGTATCTGTGAATTGCCCATTTGCTAACATTTATTTGTAATCCAAAAAGGAACGCATGTGGCATTTTGATAGTCATTAGACATGCACAGAGTGGAGAAAAATTTGAGTCATCTGATTTATGTGTACATTCTCAGCTGAGTTCAAACAAGGAGATACTTTAACCGCTTATTTCTGCTCTGATACTCTGGACAAGTGTCCTTTTGTGCTCATTGTTGGTGACTTTTCCCTTTATGAGAGCCCGCAGCGTAGTGCTGAAGTGCTATCTAGTGTTCCTAAGAGCGAGAAGGCTGTGAGGAGAAAATACATGTTATATAAGCTCTGTTCAGGCATGAGCTACCGTGGTGTTGGCCCTGAGTTCAAAGTTTATGAATCAACAATATATATTTAAAAACTTGTCTTTAAGCATAAAACAAGGTTATGTATAGATCAGTTAATACAAATGTTGTGACCAGAGGCTAACATCTGGAACCCTGTATTCTCTGTTTTGGTATTCACTGATCAGTGTTCACAGTGACTTCATAGAGCCTAACTGCCACAAATGACGAGAACCGATTATAATGCCTTACTTCATTTATAATTAAGCAGACAATCATATCTGATATATAATTCTTAACAATCCCACTCATGCCAGACCTTAAGCTCCAATTTTATCTTCAGTGTAAAAGCAGATAATAAGTCACCAATTCACTGTAACAACCCTTTATTCATCATAGCTCTCTATGTTCATTAAAACAAAACTGAACTACAGGAATGTTTTTATAAAATTGGGGGGAAAAATAAAGCACTGAGTGAGTGAACCTGAAGCCATAGTAAAATACTGTTTACCAACATATATTGCTGCAAAAGAAATTTATCCAAGCATAAAAGGTAGTTATTATTGGTGAAACTACTCTTGATATGAGTCATCAAGTGATTTTATAAATTTTTGGAAGGCATAAATATATACGATTAGCTCCAATAAGTAATCTGCAACCCAAGAAACTCTAACATTTCATTTTTACTTGTGACGCAGCAACCATAAACACTTCAGAGTGTTTTTTCCCTTCAAAAGATATTTCAACTAGGATAAATGATTTTTAAACTTTTTATACATCACACCTAAACACATCATTCAAAATAGACCCTGAAAGGAATAATAACGGTAGAGAGAACTTAATGGAAAAATACTTCTGATCTGATTCTTTCTGTAGTTCTCTGTTAAGTTCATCAATGCGCTGCTGTAGTTTTTTACGTCTCTGTTCTGGTGGCAGATGACTGAAATCTTCTAGTGCTGTGCCCTGAAAAGAGAATCTAAATGAGTATAAAAAGCATTTTCAAGAAATTTTATTTTTCACATATGTTATAAAATAAGAATATCAATTTTTAAGTTTAATTTCTAATTAGCCCCAAACAATCCCTTTTAAGAAAAAGAAATCTACATAGATATGTGTGTTAATTAAAACAACTGTATTAACAAAAGGCTCAAATTCCAGTCAGTATATAAAATCATGAAGCAGGATGGTAAAAATAACACCAGATAAAGATATTAGGTAATGACTAGTATCACATTATTCCCAGGTCTTGGCAGAATTAAAATAAATACATACGGATCTTCTTACAGCAACAACAACAAATGGAAACACGTAACATTTCTCATCTATATATATTATTGTTTTATATATAACATATCAACACATCCCAGTCAGCATATTACAAATGTTCAGACTGAAAATATGAAGTCTGTATAACTGAATTATGTAAGCAACTTACCTCATAAAGACACTCTAATTAATGCATATAGTCTTTGAATGATTACACTTGTAAACCAATCTGTTCTTTAGAACCAAAACATACTTGACAATTAAAAAACAAAAGATCCAGTAAGTGAAATGTAAGTAAAGATTATATTCCAATAAGGAGTCTTTTCCAATTATCCTTTTGTACAACCAAATAATATACCTCAGTTGTTCCTGAAAGAATGATATAATCCAAAGAGAGATATAAACCTTCTTTTGGAAGTAAGCTTGAGGTTTGAAAATTTCTTAATGCTTCGTTATTCAAAAAATTGTATCATTTAAGGAAAGTGCTAGTATTTAGATGTAAATTTGATAGAAAAGATGTCATTCATTTCTAAAATATTAATCATGTTACTGTTACTTTAGCTATTTTATTAGAGATTATACAATGGAGCAAATATTAGCAACTACTGATTCTTTCTGATATAAACCCATATTTACATGGTTTTTATATCCTCCCAAAACTGACGACACCTATCTCATTCTTCTTTTTAAAATGGTTATTTTAAGAATACACAAGTTCAGTTTTTAAAGTGTTGCTGAAGGGAGCTCCCAAAATAAATGCATCCTTGCTCTGTGGGCCACTTGTGCCTATAACATAAGCTAAAAAGCTTTATTTCACCATTATAAGAATGCTTCCCTTACTTTAAGAAAAATGAGAACACTCAATTTTAAGATGAGCCCTGATCAAATGTAACATTTAATTAATAACAGAATCTCTAGAATTTCCCCAAATGGCCTTCACATTATGGACATTCAACAAACTTGCCTAAGAAGAAGGAGGACATTTTGTCTAAGTAGCTGTTGTTTTTTAATCTACCAGTCACCATACATAAGAATCTGTCAAATCAATCAAATTTGACCTAAATGAATAAATGGCAAAATTTTCTATCCTTGAAATTTAGTGATCAATTATCATTATATGTTGTCAGATTTAATCTAATTTATGGTACAGGTTTTGAAAACTATTATATATGTGCCAAAGATAAAACTTTCTAATTTATATTTTTTAAATATGTGTTAAAATTTTGAAAAACTATTTAATAGAGAAAATGTATTCCAATGTAACTTATTTGGTAGTATTATAATAAACTCAAAACTAGCTATAAGTAAATCTGCCAAATTTCCATTTATCCCTAATCAAACCTTGTTCTCAAATTTATTAACATTAGATCCTAGACACTTGCATATGTAATATCCCATTGTGACATTATAACCTATCCTTCTATAGAATATGAAAAGTAACTCCACTCTGTTTCCTGTGGATATAAAGAAGACCTCTGAAGCATTTAACAACTCTCCTACAAGGGAATTCATAAAAGGCTGAATTGCAAGAGTCTGAAAAACAGTGGTTTATTTTCTAAAAGTGAGAAACTATGTTAGAACCCAATAGTTTTGGGCTTACATTTTCACAATGTACTTCCATTAATTTGTCTGAAATACATAAATGTGTAAAGGAACATCTCTCTCTTTCTCTCTCTGTCAAATAAACACACACACACACACACACACGATATTTAGGTTATTTGTCAGAAGAAAGCACTGACTATAACAAATTAGTAGAAAAATTATCGTTCTTACTTTCTGGAAAACCCAGTGATTCTAAACTCTCAAAAACTCTAAAAAAAATCAAATTTGTTATTTTTTTAAAGGGTATTTAAAAGGGAAGCCCTGGCCATGGCACAGTTGGCTGGAGGATTGTCCCGTACACCAAAAGGTTGCAGGTTTGATTCCTGGTCAGGGCACATACCTCAGTTTCTGTCTCCATCCCTGGTTGGGGCATGAGCCGGAGGCAAGCAATCCATGTCTCTCTCCCTTTCTCTATAAAAATCAATAAACATATCCTCAGGAGAAGGTTAAAATAAAGTATTTATAAAAGGGTGTTAAGGAAAATCATTTAATTTTCCTTCTATAAAAACAAACTTTTGTTCTACCATGTAACTTTCAAAATAGCACATACACACACACACACACACACACACATACACACACACACACACACTGTCTGTCTGGCTAATGACATCACATAGCAATGCCCAGTTTCCTCTCCCTAGCGATCAGTCTCCTTGCAGTTTCTTCAGCCCAGGAACATGACTTGCTTCGTAGCCAGGTGGAAACATTTCATACTTTAACCAAATTTCTGTGAAGCATTTTCCCATGCCTCATCTCATCTGATCCTCACGGAAGTCCTAGAGTAGGTAGATAGGAGACTCAGTGGAATCCTATTTTCATTAGCCAGAAAATGGAGATTTAGAAAGCTTAGACATACATATAAAGCTCTCGCTGGTGCCAATCGCACGTATGTGTTTCCATCTGTCATTGTTGACTGTGAATGTGGTTGACACTTCCATTATAGAGAAACGACAAACAGCGATATTAAAGTATTTCTCCTAATTAATTTCCTTTCAATGTGCATGAATTTATGCACCGGGCCACTACTTTAACTATAATTTTATTCTCTGTAACACTGTAACATGACAAGGACTAAGTAAGGACTCAATAACATTCAAGAACTTAATGGATTGATTATAGGTTAACCACATTTTTGAATTTTTATGATATCAAGAGGTACTGGCATTTGTTGGACTCTATATAGATTAAATCATAAAAAGAAAAACATATAAGATGAAAATGTGGATCTGTACCTTACTATTTGTTTTGACTTTAAACAAAATAATGATTTGAGATTATTTAATGTTGGCACAGTATATAGATCAGCACATAAGGCTTACCATCTTCCCCGACCACTGAATAGTTCAATGGAAAACAGAAAGAAATGGCAAATTATTCACATGAAACCATAATATAGAAGATGCAATAACCTATATATATTTTTTACAATGTTAAAATAAATCGTGTACATTTCACAATCCAAACAATTATGCCAGAAAAACAATTTAAGCACATTTTTGAAAGTAAATTATCTGCAAAAAAAACTAAAACAAAACAAAATACAATGATGATAATGGGCAGATATTTTATATATGCAACTAAAACTAAAAAGTAAATAGTAATCATTCTATCAGTAATCATGTATTTTCTTCTTTAAAGGAGAATTTTTACATAAGTGAGTTTCACTTATTTAGCTCTTCATTCTCAAAATACTACTATTTGAAAAGTTGAATATAAAAGATTTAACAGCCATTTAAAAAAAATCTTATATAAAGGATTTAAAAATGGAATGCTCTTTATAATGTATTAGACAAAACACCATTTCCTGAATTTTTATAGTTTAAAATACCGTAGGGTAGTTTTAGGTGAGGATAAAATTCCTACTTTAGTTTTAAGGTACTTTTTAAAATGTACAGACACGTTAAAAACACAGTATTACCAAAACAATAAATGAATCACTTAGAGTCAAGTTCCCCATACGTATTTCCTAATAGACACAAGTATATGGGCTGAATTTTGCTTTGAAGATATAGCTTCTATTTTTCAGTTTTTATTCTGAAATCTACATGCTTGAAAGCAACACTGAAAATATAACTTGAATTTTTAGAAAACTGGTTAAAATTTAGTCTTTCGGAAAATATGAAATGACATAGCCAGAGTATTATCATATAGTTATATATACTACACATGTACACAAATGCACATTCTGTGGGCTGGCAGAGTTCTGCAACTGGCATTGCATCTACCTAGCATCCCAACTAAACACATGAGATGCATGCACACGTGCAGGTACACAGTATGTTCACACAAGCACACACACACACACACACACACACACACACACACACACACACACACCCTGTGACCAAGAATACACAGGAGAGCTTTACAAAGTTAATATTCATTGCATTTGGTTAGCAGCCTCTAAAATTTTTTTATCATTCCCTGTTTTCTAAATCATATTTTAGATTTGGGGGATGTCGGGTAGAATTTCACATAAAATTATGAATTTTAATAAATAGCTGACAAAAATATCTACCCCTTATCTCTGATGAATTTGTCATATATAAATGGTTATAATGATAAGAAAAGATGACATATGCTATTCAATACCTTTCCAAATTAAGCTTAACATTCTTTAGACTGTCAGTAGTTTCAGGCAATAAAACCACAACATCTTTGTAACAAAATTCCTGATGAGATTTAATGGTTTAAATTTTTAAAAGATATTCATGTTCTCTTTAAATGTTATTAGAACAAAATTATATACAGGACAAGAAGCAAACTCCCTATGGTATTGGATTTATCTTTTATAATTTTCACCAGCTAAATTTCTAAGTGATGCAAATTATTTTTTCACTTTCTATATTAATGTTTTAGAAAAAAACATTAAGGTAATTATGTACTGAAATATCAGATGTTTCAATGTTTAGCTAATCAAATTTTGGGGATACAAAAAAACTCAAGTTCTTTGTAAAAATATTAGAAATATATAAAGTAATTCATGTTCAATACAGAAACACCTCACTCTTATATGTAATTATTATATACTTATAATTAGAAAATTTCATATATCCACTCTATCTTAATAAATATACAAGGGAGCTATAAAAAGAAATCAGGCAATTAATATTATTAGATGTATTTCATTTAAAGACAAAGAAATTCTGAGAACTGTACTCTAGATAGATAAAAAGCTTACAAAAATTACTTTAGAAGTTTGTAAGATCCTAAAAAACTTAGAAAACATGGACTTGCTATTGCTAGATCTACCCCCCTAACCCCCAAAAAAGAGTATCCAGTAAGCTCAAATGAAGTAGATATAGAGAAAAAAATTATTCATTTCTAAATTAAGTAGTTAACTTTAGGAGTACACCAAATATCCATTAATGGTTAGATTTTGAAGGAAATTATAGACCCTCAGAAAAGGTCTATGTATGGTCAAATTAAAAAACACTGATCCAATATAACATTTCTCATATCCTTAAATATACTAGAAACTGTGCATACTAGGTTTTCTTTAAGAAAAATAAATTATATATTTTCAGAAAGTCAAAATGTGGGTATTTAGAAAAAATGATGTAACAAATATAGGTTGACACAAGTTTCTAATTTGAATTGGTACAATTTATCAGTTTTAAGGAAACTTAAATCATTTCACAATATATGTAGATCAAACCACCATGTTGTACATCTTAAACTTACACAGTGATGTACATCAATTATTTCTCAAAACTGGAAAAAATGATGACTAAAAAATATTCTGTTTTTATATAAACTGGGGGTTAAATTTACTTGGCTGGCTACTTTAGTGGAAATGTAAAAAGTGCCTAGAAGTGATTTAGTATAAAGAGTAGGAGTTCTCTTCCATAGAACACACAGGAAAATTATTGAGTGTATCCTAAGAGTTGTCATTGCAAGGAGAAATCATTTTTGCTTTCTTTTTATTGTGTTTACATGTGATGATAAATGTTAATTACCGTATTTGCCGGCATATAAGACGATTTTTTGGCCCTGAAAAATATGCCTCCAAGTGGGGGGTCGTCTTATACGCCAGGTACACTTCAGATAGACTGCCCATAGTGCTTGCCCCGTGCCATAGTGGCCTCCCGATGCCCGCCCACTTCATTCCACATACCGTTCAGGCATCAGCAGCGCTGCTGGGTGTATGCTCGGCTGTTACGCGATTTTGCTGTTATGCGATTTTACCACACTCGCAAAATCGCACACAGCCGACCATACACCCAGTATGATAGCGCAAA